TGCTGCATAACTTAATATGTGATCCGGAGGCTAAAAAACTGTGAGCTAGTTCACACCAACTCAGCTTAGAGGGTAACACTGGCCAGAGGATATCAATGGGACTGTTGCATCACTTTGCAGAGCCTAACTGTACGAGATAGAGCGGTCTATTGTATTCACATCAGGAATCGCTGGTGATAGCCCTGTGTTTCCTTGCCGTGCTAATTCAGGGCCGAAAGAAAAACTTATCTTGGTCCCAGTTGCTTCATCTTCTAACCAAGAACATCACATATGGCATTCCAAGCGTCGTAAAATCTTATAATGCCTTAAAAGGATTGGGGACGTGGGAAGCCCCCTTGTGCCAGCCACTACTTAAATGAGTCGAGTTTGGGACCAGGTCTTCTGGGTGTGAACTTTTCGGTGGATTCTGCATTCCACTCAGTAATGCCCCAGATCTGCCGCCTAAGAATGTCCAGTCGCGGGGCCTGAAGGGCGCCCCCTGATTGGAAGGGATGCTAGAGAGACTTCCGTCACATTTTCAGCCCACCCTTCCTCCAAGGGACTCGGTGTTGGGGTGGTCACAGTTTTCGTTTCCTCCGCCTTAACCATCCAACAACCCTGTGGGACAAGTTATTGACCGACCCAGCATCACCCACGTGACTTGGTGGCTCAACAGGGATATGGCCGCAGGTTCCCATGGTTCTGGCATGAATGACTCTGTGCCACAACTACACTAACTTTCTAACCTGAGTAGCTAACTCACCTTTGAACTGCTGGTAGCTACGTCAGGGCGTTTTGCAGAGCTAAAATGAGATGTACGTTTCCCTCTGAATGCTTAAAAGTGTGTGCTTTTATAGTGCATAAGTATCAGGCCCGTTTGCCTTCAGAGGAGGTCGTTTCCCCCTTCTCTTTCTCTTACTCTGCACACAAATGAATGAATGAAAACGAGGCCAGTCCAGAGCAGCAGCTATTAGAGTGAGCGTGCATCCTCTTTTTTTCCTTTCATTTGCCATCTGTCTTCCTTACGGGGCTCGGGGCAGCTTGCAGCATAATAAATATGTATAAGTATAAATAAAATAGAATACATAAAACCAAAATTTGAAAATCACAATTTAGGGACCCCTCTGGCTGAGCGCTTGCTGAGGTCTGTATACTTTTTCTTTACACCGCGCACTTCGACGTTTGGCGGCCTAACTTCTCTGATGTTGTGAAACAGGTGGGCAGCCGTGGGCATACTGGCCAAAAACTTTGCAATGCAGCCAGTTTGGTGCCGTGGTTAAATGCGCGGACTCTGATCTGGGAGAACCGGGTTTGATTCCCCACTCCTCCACTTGCAGCTGCTGGATGACCTTGGGCAAGGCGTAGTTCTGACAAGAGCTGTCCTTGGAAGGGGCAGTTCTGGAAAGAGCTCTCTCAGCCCCACCTACCGCACAGGGTGTCTGTTGTGGGGAGGGGAAGGAGATTGTAAGCCGCTCTGAGACTCCGAATGAAGGGCGGGGTATAAATCCAATCTCTTCTTCTCTGTGACAGTGCTGGAGCAGCCGAAAATAAATTGCTGGGGTGGGGTGGGGGCACAGCAGCAGTGCTACCAGTGCTTTGGGGGCATGCTCTTGTTTCCCTTGGGGTGAAAGCCAGTCTCCTGTGTGTGTACTGCGGTTTGGCACCTGTGTTGGTGGTGGGCAGGATGTCTCTTAGTCTGCCGCTGCTGCAGAATAGAAAGTCATTCTGCCTGGCTAAGCTCTGAACAGTTCTGCATCTCGCGTGAGTCCTCTCAGCATTTTCTTTCTTGTCCCACGTAACCTGCACACACCAGGAAACGGCAGCTAAGTCACCAGACCCCAAGCTAGGTCACCAGACTCCGTGCTGCTCTTGGGTGCAGCTCTCGCCACTTCCTGTTTCTGAAGTGAGGAAACAAAGGAAATGTCAGCGGATGGCCATGGCTCATTCTAGCCGCTCCTTCGCTCATTAAGAGCAGCAGGCTGTTGTAAGACTTTCCATTGTTCTTGGGGGGGGGTGGGTTGGTTCTTTCTCAACTTTGGAGTGGAATTTGGCCAGGGATTCTCATTGCTTTCTTAGGCATACCTTTACATTTAGACCAGGTGAATTCCATGGGTTACAATCAAAACGGGAAGCTGTATTAATATGTTACCGTAAAAAATGAAACGAGTGACTTGTGACACCTCACAGGCTTCTAGCTGGTTAGACCTTCCTTCATCAGACACACCGAGCGTATACATCGTTTTGTGGACGTCTTCACAGCCAGAATTATAACAGGCAGGATCAAGGGGAGTTGTAGCAGAGCCAACAGAAGCACGTTGTAAGTCACGCAAGGGTTAGACCCCCGTCAAAGCAAATGGAACAATTGTGGTTTTTCCATGTCGTGGGTTGGGAGAGTGGTGGCCAAAGGCCCCAGTGTATCTTCAGCTACAGATAAAGCAAGATCCATGACCTGCAGATAAAGCAAGATCCAGTCAGAAAAGTAATGCATAGATTCAAAGTGGGTAGGGCCGAACAAGTCGAGTAGAACAATGCAAATCCCGTTTGGTTAAAATACAGGGCGAAAGGTCTTACGCAACATTTGAATCTAATCAAGAAAAGGAATCACACACTGATTCAGCAAAGACTAGCCGGCAGCTGTAAAAGTCACAGGTTTAGCCAAGATATCAGTAGCCAAAAGTGAGTTAGTAAAATCTATCCATGGGTGGGGGAATCAGCATTCTCTTTGCTGATTGACCAATCATGTTTTAAAAAAGAAAACACACACACGCCAAAAAACCTGCAGGGGTGCAAGGGGTGGTGGTGGTTAACGCAAGTTTAGTGGCTGGTTTCATGCAGAATTAATTTATGTATCTCATTCATTTTTAAATCATCCTTACCCCGAGGTCGTGTCATTCTTCCCTTCTCTATTTTATCCTTGCAACAACCTGGTGAGGTAGGACGGGCTGAGAGACATAATGGCTGGTCTAATGCCACCCAGCAGATTCCATGACAAGCTGGGATTTGAGCTTGAGCCTTCCCTAGACCAGTGCTCTCACCATTAGAGCACGCTGGTGTGTCTTTGGCTTCAGCCATTGTAAGGAAGGTTTTATAGTCTCTTGAGAGCCAGCCTGGGGTAGGGGTGAAGAGCGACAGAGTCTAATCTGGAGAACCGGGTTCGATTCCACAGTCCACATGAAGCCAGCTGGGTGACCACGGGTCAATCACAGCTCTCTCAGAGCACTCTCAGCCCCCAAAATAAGTCCAGCTCGCCACCTAGTGGTGCATACTGCTGAGAGCTCGAACTTTAGGCTGCCAGACCATCCTGGGATCTATACACACAGTGCCAAACAATAGTAATTATTAATTTTTATAGTCTCTTATTTTTAACTGCTGTATGGAAGCTGCTACCATTGTCAGAGATATTTTAAACAAATAAACGAGGCTGGGATGAAGAGCATAGAAAGACATATACCCGTGGTGGGTGAAACACCATCTTCATGACTGGAAACTACATGAAGACTTCCTTTGACACTAAAGGAGCGATACCTACCTGTGCGTTTAGCCCTTTCTGCAGATTGGTGGCTTCTGTCGAAATGGAAGAGAAGGCCGATCTGCCATCAGCTTCAAATGTAGTTGCAGGCTGAGAAATTTCCACTACTCTCTACTTAACTAGATCGCTGTATCTCCATTGCTCTGCAGCAGCTCATGCCCTCGACCAGGGAAATTGCACGTTGGCTCTTAGTGGTAGGCACGTTGGCTCTTAGTGGTAGGTAGGTTCATTGGCAGGGGTGATGATTTAATGGGGGGGGTGGCCTCCAAGGAATTGGCTGGAGTGGGCTTGACCTTGGAGGGGGCTGTGGGGGCCTGCCTGCCTGTTTCCCCTGCCAACATTTCAAAACCAGTTTGTAAAAACGCATTTCACTTCTTGAGATCTCCGAATGGGGAGGTTGGAAGCTCCTAAGGTCTCAGTCTCATTAGTGTGACTCCCATTTGCAGGGTCTGTTTCCATCTTCTCCCCCCCTCCCTTTGTTTCGTTTCAAGTAATGCCAGCTCTGGGTTGGGAAATGCTTGGAGTTTTGGGAAGGCGGAGGGAGGGGGGTGGGGGTTTGGGGAGGGGAGGGACCCCAGCGGGGTCTAATGCCACAGAATCCACCATCCAGAGTTGCCATTTTCTCCAGGAGAGTTCCACGCATTTCTTTCTGCATGCTCCAGTGGGGCATAATGCCATAAAGTCAACCCTCCAAAGTGCTCGTTTTCTCCAGGTGGACTGATCTCTGTCGCCTGGAGACCAGTTGTCATCAGTGTTCCCTCTAAGCTGAGTTAGTGTGAGCTAGCTCACAGTTTTTTAGCCTCCAGCTCACACATTTCTGTCTTAGCTCAGGAAGGACGGCTCCAGAGCAAACTAATTTATGCAGCAGCCCAATCACTCGCTCACAACTTTAATGCCAGTAGTTCAAAAAGTAGAATTGTTGCTCACAAGACTCCACAGCTTAGAGGGAACATTGGTTGTCATCCCAGGAGATCTCCAGCCACCACCTGGAGGGTTGTATCAAAACACAAAGACTCAGTGTATAACTTACAAACAGAAGTAGAAAGAATATATTATCCAAAGCAATTTTAACAATTCTTAACAGTTCAAATATTTGTCATATTCAAGCATTTTTATGATTTCTTAAAGGGTTAGGATCCAGCAGTACTTAATACAAAAGACAAAATCCAAGTAAAGTTCACTAATCTTTTGTATAAGACGCTTCAGGAAAGCAAAGGTTCCACAGGAAAATGAAAGCTCCACGTGGTAGGAGTAGCAGCTATGCACGGCTGGCTTCAGCACCGCGTTCGCTTCCTGTTTCTTCAGATAGCTGGTCTGCCATCCCATTCCGTGTGTTATAGACCGAATTTCCCCGGTGCTTCTCCAAATGCACACCAGAGTTCTGGGCAGATATCTGCTCTAGTGCACTGGAAAATACTAAACTTCTGCATGTTTTTGTTGCTTGATCGACGTAGAATTTGAGAGAAAAGTAGCAGAACGGTATAGAATCCTAATGAAAGCAATCTTTTTTTTTTGTCCCCTAGGAATTGATTTTAAAATCAGAACAATAGAACTAGATGGGAAGAAAATCAAACTACAGATATGGTAAGTTTATAAGAGCGTAACTTGATCTGATTGGATGAGCGGGTGTCCACAGCCAATCCGTAGTGGGGTAGCTGCAGGATGAACTGGTTGTCTGCAGAACTCTTCTCGACGCATTAAAAATAATTGTGGGCATAATTACTCAGTGCTCAAATCAGCTTGTGAAAACTGGCAACAGAAAAAAGTTTTGGCGGCTGAAATTCCATTGCTTTGCACAAGGTATTCATGACCAAATAACGGACCATTGAATTGTTAGCTCACCTCTTTGGGGTAGTGAGCCAGTTTGGTGTCGTGGTTAAGTGCGCGGACTCTAATCTGGGAGAACCGGGTTTGATTCCCCACTCCTCCACTTGCACTTGGCTGGATGACCTTGGGCAAGCTGTAGTTCTGATAAAAGCTGTCCTTGAAAAAGAGCGGTTTCTGTCAGAGTTCTCTCAGCCCCACCTACCGCACAGAGTGTCCGTTGTGGGGAGGGGAAGGGAAAGGAGTTTTTAAGCCCCTCTGAGACTCCTTTGGGTAGTGAAGGGTGGGGTATAAATCCAATCTCTTCTTCTTCTCTTGCACTTTATCTCAAGTCAGTGAAAGTCTGCAAAAGCTCAGCATTCAGATGCCTTTCACTGGGCCCATGTCTCCAGTGGAATAACTTTTGGTCAGGCAGCCTTGTTGAGGCTCGAAAGCTCTGTGTTCATGTAGCACTGCGTGATGTGCAGCCTGCTGTATAAACCTGTCTCGCAAATAACCTACGTTCTACGGTATTCATGAAATGCGTCTTCTCCTTCAGCTGCAGACATTAGACAGCACAGTGAAGAGAGTTTCACACACTTTTCCTTAATCATAAAAAATCTAGAGAACATCCTCCTAGTGGCTGTAACATGTATGTTCTGTGGTGCTCTTAGGCAAAGTTAATTTTTATTTTATTTTTTTTATTTCTTCACATTTATAGTCCGCCCTTCCCAGAAGCGGGCTCAGGGTGGGTACAACATGTCATGTCAAGTCAAGTCAAGTGAGCCTTTATTGGCATAAATTATCAGAACCATTTATACATTTTAAAACCAGTTAAAAGCACATATATAAGAATTCTAAAAGAACCTTTGGCGCAGCTTTAAAGCCAAACAGAGAAACTTAGCCACCTTCTCTGTAATATCCGGTCAGAGATCTCTTAAAAGTCTATTCACCTTAAGAGCATCAGAACAAACACCCATACTGGTTAAAAGAGATTGTAAATATGTGATCCTTATGTCCATGTACAGGTTACAATGCAGGAGAACATGAGTGATAGATTCCACGCATTTCTTTCTGCATGGGCAGTATCTGGCCAGCTGAGAAACCTTATTGAATCTGCCAAATAAGATGGCGGACGGCATGGCATTGCATCTGGCCAGGGTGAACGCTCTACATGTCATTTATACAAATATATTAGCTAATGTAATAACGTTCAACAACAACAACAACATCAACAACATTATTTATTACGGTCAAAGACCCATCAAACAGCATACAGGATCAAAAAAGCAAACCCAGGTTACCAAAACATTACAAAGAGGAGACATCATAAATAGTATTAAGGAGGAGCTTGCGCTTTGCAAATGCAATAAAAAGAAATTTAGCCCAAAGGCCTGGCGGAAGAGCTCCGTCTTGCAGGCCCGGTGGAATTGAATTAGATCCCGCAGGGCCCTCATCTCGGCGGGGAGCATGTTCCACCAGGCAGGGGCCTGGGCAGAAAAGGCCCCGACCCTGGTCTCGTGGGCCAGGGACTACCAGGAGGTGTTGATCCCTAGAGTGTAGTGCTCTTTGGGGTATATACGGGAAGAGGCGGTCCTTCAGATACGTTGGTCCCAGGCCGTATGAGGCTGTTACCAACACCTTGAAGCGGATCCGGAATTCTACTGGTAACCAGTACGATTGGCAGAGTACCTGCCGAACGTGAGCCCGCATAGTTTCTTTCTTTCTTACTTACATTTATTAGCTTCTATGACCAAAGGTCTTAAGCTCAGTTATAAAAGATGAATATACAACATTAGCCTCATAACACGAACTTTACAATAAAAGTTTACGGTCGAAGTAATCAGATCTAAAGGACCTAAAATGTTAAAACAGAAGTCATTAATAAAACTATAATTCATTTAAATATTCATTTAAATCATAATAACTGGGTGCATGCCAAATTCTGTTACAGTTGGGCCAAGCCAGATTTTCTTTGCTTTACAGATAAAACTGTCATTAAAAATTTAGTGACGGAATAAGTGGTTTCAGGATTAGTATCTGCCAACAGATAGGGGACCACCCAGAGTTCAGTGGGTAATCGGTGTTTGGTAAGAACTGGAGTGATCCAAATCGATCTGGGAGTCGACCACTGATGACATAATAGAAGATGGCCCAGTGTTTCCACAGCTCCAGTCTCACAGTTACATAAGCGATCCGAGTAGGGGACTTTAGAAAAGCGACCTGTTAACTCAGCAGTGGGAAAAGAGTTAAGCCTAGTTAAAGAAAGTTAAAGAAAGCATAGTTTAGTTGAGTCCCAGTGTTCCCTCTAAGTTGAGTGAGTGTAAGCTAGCTCACAGGTTTTTAGCCTCTGGCTCACACATTTTTGTCTTAGCTCAGGAAAGATGGCTCCAGAGCCAACTAAATTTTGCAGTAGCCAAATTGCCGGCTCACAACTTTAATGCCAGGAGCTCACAAAGTAGAATTGTTGCTCGCAAGACTCCGCAGCTTAGAGGGAACATTGGTCCTGACCTGATTGGCCAAGACTAGCTGGATCCCATCGTATCTTAGGAGCCAAGCAAGGTCAGCCTGTAGTTGGATGGGAGACCACCAAGGAAGTCCAGGGTTGCTACAAAGAAGTCAGTTAATAGCCAACCACCTCAGTTCACCTTTTGCCTTGACCTAGATGGCACAGGCCAGCCTGCGCTCATCAGGTCTTGGAAGGTAAACAAGGTCAGCCTTGGCTGGTTCTCGGAAGGGAGACCACTGAGGAAGTCTCTTGCCTTGACCTGTATGGCCCAGCCTAGCCCACTTCTCATTGGATCTTGGAAACTTACCTGGGTCAGCTCTGGTTAGTTATTGGGATTGTTAGTCACTTCGAATTTTTAAAGTCATACTGGATTAATTTTGATGTTTTTTTTAAATGGATGGTTGCTTTGGCTCTTGTTTTATTTGTTATGATACGTTGTTAGCTACCCTGAGCCTGCGTGCGGGGTAGGGTGGGGTAAAAATCTCATAAAGTGAATGGATAAATAGGATGTCCAGGGCTGCTACACCAAGGCAGGCAACGTGTTGTTAGCTACCCTGAGCCTGAGGATGTCCAGGTCTGCTACACCAAGGCAGGCAACGGCGAACAACCTCTGGCCGTCTTTTGCCTTGAAAAGGACAACCTCTGGCCGTCTTTTGCCTTGAAAACCCTGTGGGTGGGCTGTGACTTGACAGCCTCTTCCACCACCACCACCACCAAAGTTTGCTGATGCAGAAGCCAGTGTAAAATCATCACAGGAGGGAGAAGGCACCTTCAGATACGACTGCTGGGCCCTCGTGGAAATACTGGGAGGTGAAATCGCACTGAATATGAATTAAACACACACAGTGGTGGTGCTGATGAGGTGGAGGATGTGGTCTGAGAGACCCAGTTTCTCCATGCACAGAAGCGAGGGGCAGAAGAGGAGATTGGATTTATTCCCCGCCCTTCACTACCCAAAGGTGTCTCAGAGCGGCTTACAATCTCCTTTCCCTCCCCCTCCCCACAACAGACACCCTGTGAGGGAGGTGGGGCTGAGAGAGCTCTGTTACAGAAACGGCTCTTTTTTCAAGAACAGCTCTTCTCAGAGCTACGGCTTGCCCAAGGTCACACCAGCAGCTGCACGTGGAGGAGTGGGGAATTAAACCTGGTTCTCCCAGATTAGAGTCCGCGCACTTAACCGCTACACCAAACTGTAACGTCTAAACCAGGGGTGTCGAACTCATTTGTTGTGAGGGCCGGATCTAACCTAAATTAGACCTTGTTGGGCCAGGCCATGTGTGTCATAAAATGTAATGCCAGCTAGCAGAGATATAAACTTTATAAAGGACACAAACACAAAGGGTTGGTTTTTTTACTTAAAATAAAAACGTGCTTAAAACATTAGCGCTCTTGCAATATTTTGTTTATTGAACAGTGTCTGCTAACTGACACCTCTTGCTCTGAAGTATTGCATCAAAATGTCTGTGCTGTTGCAATCTTGAGTCTGCTGTTCAGGTGTGTGTATCCATAAGCTGCACACCCACGATGACGCAACAGCAGCAGAACTGGAAGAAGAAGCAGAAGGCAGCCGGTTCCACTGCGGGGCTGTTAGAAACCCTCCGGGGGCCTGATCCGGCCCCTGGGCCGCATGTTTGACACCCTTGATCTAAACTGCTCTTGACCAGCGCTGTTCTCGAAGGGGGAGTCTCTGCTGGGGGAACAGGAGGTTTCCAGATAAGCATGTCAGGGTTGAGGTCCAAGCCTGCAACCTGGAATTGCCTTGCTTGTAAACCACCACCACCCCCAGGAGTAACTGGTACTTTGAGTGTGAATACGTAGCATTTGCTTGTTTGATCTTGTCTAACGTGGAGCTTAAGTGTACGTTGGTCTCTGCATGTTGCTGCTAAATGGAAAAGCGAAATGTTGCCTGGTAAGAGTGGTGATTTTGGGGGAGGGTTAGTGGCCACACCCTGCACCTTTGCGTTCCCCCTCCCCGCCCTGCCTTTAGTTTTCACGCAACCTGCTTTGGTTTCCTTACAGGGATACGGCAGGCCAGGAAAGATTCCGCACGATCACAACTGCGTATTACAGAGGCGCGATGGTGAGTGGACTTTGCTGCTGACGGTCTGGGAGAGGAGTCCCTGAACTTCCTGAGCCTGCGGGCGCCTCTGGAATTCTAACGCGGTGTGGTGGGCGCAGCCACAAAACGGCTGCTGCAGAAGGTGGGGTGAGCCACAAAATAGCTGCCCCAGCTTTACCGCCAGCCACACAGTGGAGATCCTGGTGGTGTGCTTTTCTAACCTCTCCGTCTCTTAGTAAGGAAGGAAGCCTTTATCACCATCAGTTTAATAGCAACAGAAACTTATAGAGCCCGGCGCCTGGTTTACTACTGACAACCTGTGCCCGCCCATCATATACGGGGAGACCAATGAGCTGAATACTCCGATAATCTATAGCATGTATAATGCCATCTTTATGACAGCAGAATATGTCTGCTCCAGTGCTCCCTCTAAGCTGTGGAGTCTTGTGGGCAAAAATTCGACTTTGTGAGCTGCCGGCATCGCGTTGCGGGGAGGGCGGGCTATAAATTGAAATTATATATAAAATAAATATAAAGCTGTGAGTGAGCGATTTGGCTGCTGCATGAATTAGTTGCTCTGGTGCCGTCCTTCCTTGAGCTAAGACAAAAAACAGAGGCTAAAAAAAACCTGTGAGCTAGCTCACTGACTCAGGTTAGAGGGAACACTGTTCTGCTGGCACTTTAATATCTGAATGTTCGTATGCTTTTGTTTGTGTAAGCCGCCCTGAGCCTGCTTAGGCGGGGCAGAAATTTGAATAAATAAATAAATAAAATAAGAACATAAGAGAGAAGCCAATGTTGGATCAGGCCAAAGGCCCATCTAGTCCAACACTCTGTCACACAGTGGGCAAAAAATACCAGGTGCCATCAGGAGGTCCACCAGTGGGGCCAGGACATTAGAAGCCATCCCACTGTTGACCCCCCCAAGCACCAAGAAGACAGGGCATCACTTGCCCCAGAGCCCATATCTATACCTTGTGGCTAATACCCACTGATGGACCTCTGCTCCATATGCCTATCTAATTCCCTTTTGAAGCCGTCCATGCTTGTAGCCGCCACCACTTCCTGTGGCAGTTTTGTTTTTAGAGGATACGTTGGAATCAAATTTGTATATATTGCTTTGATACTACTTTAACATAAGGGAGGCTCAAAAAACCTAAATGGGCAAGGAGGAGAATGGGGGACAGCGTGAAAACGGATCTTCCGCTTCTCTGCTGATGTACCCGTTGGGTTTGGAGGAACGATTCCAGGTGTCCCGGCGTGAGCGGAATAAGGTGGGCGTGCCTCGTTGCTGACGGTGACTCTGCTTTCTCTAGGGAATCATGCTGGTCTACGACATCACGAATGAGAAGTCTTTCGACAATATTAAAAACTGGATAAGGAACATAGAAGAGGTAGGTCTGTATCGCAGAACAGCGGGCTACGCTGGCTGGCAGACTGGTCCAGAACGATGGAAAGATCACCGAGCCGCTAAAATGGCCATGCTGCTTTCGTGTCAGAGGGGCGTGGAATCCAAGTGGTTTTGGATCCATTGGTGGGATTGCAGGTCTGAAACAAGAAAATATGAAGGGTGGGGGGAAAGATGGATTCATTCTCGGTATCACTTTCAGTTGGCTTTCCTCAGGGGGAGAGAGAGGTGGAAGGAAAAGGATGATGATTCTCTCCAAGTTTGTTTGCCTGATGGAATGGAGATGAAACAGGGAGGGGCCGTGGTTCAGTGGAAGAGCATCTGCTTCATATGCAGGTTCGATCCCCGGCGTTTCCAGTTGAAAGGAGCAGGCAGTAGGTGATGCGAAAGACCCTCGCCTGAGGCCCTGGAGAGCCGCTACCATTTTGAGCACACAGCACTGACCTTGATAGACAAAGGGTCTCTGATTTAGTATAAGGCCACTACATGTATAACAAAAACTGCCTAATAAAACTTTAAGAGACTCTTAAGGTATATGACGGTCATCTAAGTACATTCGAGTTTACAGAGGTAGTTACCATTTAAGAGGTCCACCGGGAGGCCCCCTGCAAGCACCAAGGATACAGAGCATCCCTTGCCCCAGACAGAGTGTTCCATCTGTATCTTGTGGCTCATAGCCACTCATGGACCTCTGCTCCAGATGTCTGATTACCCACACCTCAGTTGGGCACAGACAGAGGGCAGCCCTCCCCAGGGTTTGGCTCCACGGGGCTCTGATCCCTGTCAGCCTCCTGGGCGGGAGGAGGAAGGGGTTTAAGTCTTCCCACAGTGCCGGAGGTAAAGTAAGTTCCGGTCTGCCCGTTAAACACCCTCTCCCATGCCACGGCCCCCATTCAAATCACACACCCGTGCAGCTCCCACCCCTGCAATTTACCTTTAAATCATTGCTGGGATGACCTCACCGTGGGCCTTCCAGAGTCACATCCAGCGTTCCCCCTAAGCTGAGTTAGTGTGAGCCAGCTCACAGTTTTTTAGCCTCCGGCTCACACATTTTTGTCTCCGCTCAGGAAGGATGTGGCTCCGGAGCAAATTGGTTTATGCAGTAGCCAAATTGCTCGCTCACCACTTTAATGTCAGTAGCTCACCAAGTAGAATTTTTGCTCACAAGACTCCATAGCTGAGAGGGAGCATTGGTCACGTCCAGTTTGGTCCTCAGAGCCTAGTCCCGAAAGTGAACAGTCCATACAGGATAGATGCTCAGCAACATAAACACTCCCAATTTCTGGTTCCAGGTTGGTTATCTTTTTAGGAAAAGCCTCCGTGACCAATCTGTTCCCAGGGATCAGACAGCAAACTCTCAACACCCCACTATGTTAAACTGGGATATTTCTTTTACGCACTCAAGTGAACACACGAGAGACACCATTGGCTAATACTTTGCATTCATCACTTTCTGCTTTTTTAGAGTGCAGCGGCACCTTTAAGACCAACAAAGTTTCATTCAAGGCATGAGCTTTCGAGTGCAGGCACACTTTTTCAAATAGTGAAAGCTCAGACCTTGAATAAAACTTTGTTGGTCTTAAAGGTGCTCCACTGGACCCTAAATTTGTTCTGCTGCTTCAGACCCACAGACCTATACCACCTGGATCTATTCTATAGACTGCCTGGAAAGGAAATTAAGCCGAATCGGAGAAACAACAGCCCACCACCTGGGTGCCGGTAGGCAGCCCCGTCCCTGTTCAATGTGGCCCTAGTTAGGGAGTAGAGTGTTCTTAGAACCCTCTATGTAAACCGCCCAGAGACCCCTAGGGGTCAGGGCGGTATAAGAAGTCGAATGAAATGAAATAAATAATAAATAATACCAGTTTGGTGTCGTGGTTAAGTGCGCGGACTCTAATCTGGGAGAACCGGGTTTGGTTCCCCACTCCTCCACTTGCACCTGCTGGATGACCTTGGGCAAGCCGTAGGTCGGATAAGAGGTGTCCTTGAAAAAAGAGCAGTTTCTGTCAAGAGCTCTCTCAGCCCCACCGACCTCACAGGGTGTCTGTTGTGGGGAGGGGAAGGAGTTTGTGAGCCGCTCTGAGACTCCTTTGGGTAGGGAAGGGCCATGGGGTATAAATCCAGTCTCCTCCTCCTCCTTCCCATTTAAGATTTTTTTAAAAATCCTTGAGCAATGGCACTCTGCAGTTATCCAATCACATTTCAAGCACAAATGTCTTTGTTTCATTAGAAGAAACCCCTACAAGAATGGACGGTACATAAGAACAGATTTACCACAGGATGAACTGTTTGTCTAGACCAGGCCTTAATGTCAGTTCTCTGGCTCTCTGCCCAGCTGTGGTTTTTCCTAGCGCTCCGATTTCCACTCTGTTAGGTTCATTCCAGTGATTAGTTCATCAGGTACCCCTTAGCATGGCAAACATGCTGCTCTTGCTGGGCTTTGTGTTTTTAGATCTAACGTAAATGCGTATGAAGCAGGTAGAGATCAAGACCCACCTTTCGTCCCCTTACTATTTCCCCCAAAATAGACTCGACTCAAGTTGCATCTGGCACACTTTTTGTGGCTTGGTTGTGTTTCATGTTTTCCCCTCTCTTCAGCATGCTTCTTCAGACGTAGAGAGAATGATCTTGGGTAACAAATGCGATATGAACGAAAAAAGACAAGTTTCAAAAGAAAAAGGAGAGAAGGTAAGTCTTGCCCACTGACAAGCTCTTTAGGCAGGGTCTCTGATGTTCCTGATGGCCTTTATTCCCAACCCCCACCCCCACTGAAGCAGGCAGTGGTGTTGCTCTGGTGTCTCTATTCATTTTGGGGACAGAATGGGATTTCCGGCTATAAGGAAAATGTTCTGGATTTAAGAAAGGGTCGAATTCATCAACTTTGAGCTTAAATTGCAGCCTAAGATTTGCCCTAATCAGTGATGCTGAGAAAAAAGATTCAGACAGTGGGATTCTTAAGTGGAAATTGCACATGCTTCCTCCTTCAGCTGTAACTCTACTGATTTGGAAAGGCGGCCTCCCTGCCTCCGTTTGGATATAGTTTCCCTCTCTGCGTTTACTTTCTACACAGCCTGGCCCACAGAGAACCGATCTCTCCATTGTCTGCTCCATCATGCATATTACGAGCCACAATCTTCTTTCAAGCCAGCGTGGACCTTAATGCTGAATAAAATACAAACTTAGTGTAACCGTTCTGATTAGTTCAAGCCACTAATTGTACAGTAGGGTAGGCTAATGCCCTGGAAGGGGGTGGGAACGGAAATGCAAAAGGTGAATGCAGAACCCAGAGCACAATAGAGTTAACTTGTCCCACTAAAAGCAGTCTGGTACCGTAAAGACTTTTTTGTCCACAAACGCTTCTGCTGGTATTTTAATTTTTTGTTTATTTATGTTAGTTATAGTTAGCCTTTCTTCCATGGACTCCAGGCAGATTACACAGAGTGAGTCAGTACAGCCAACAGACTGGGGCGTTCAGTAACCAGCACATGAGGAAATTCTTTAAAATTATTTTTTATAACAAACAAAAACAAACAGACAAACAAGTTACTTAAAAGAAATCTGGGGGTTCCATTTAGGTCTTAACTAAATCTGCTTTGTTACCTCGTACATTGTCTATTTGTGTATATCTGTCTTTACTATCGTACATTTTTATGTCAATATTTAGCATTATAGTTAAAGATGTCAGTTATATCCTCTTCTCAGGTGACCAGCACATAAGGATTTGAGGAATCTGGAACCACCAGAAAGAAACAGAAGCATAGCACACATTTTCCCATGATGCATTAAGCTGTCCAGAAATTACATAATAAGATCCTACTTACAATACGCGATATACAGCAGTATAGAAGTCCCAGTCATGTTCCCAAGTATAGGTCTTCTAGTCTTGAATGGTATAGAGCTTCTAGTCTTGACGCTGTGATAAAGACTTGGTTGTTTTATGAATATCGCACGAATATCGCATGTTGAGAGCCAGTTTGGTGTAGTGGTTAAGTGTGCAGACTCTAATCTGGAAGAACCAGGTTTGATTCCCCACTCCTCCACTTGCACCTCGCTGGATGACCTTGAGCAAGCCACAGTTCTCTCAGAGCTGTTCTTGAAAAAGAGCAGTTTCTCTCAGAGCTCTCTCAGCTCCACCTACCTCACAGGGTGTCTGTTGTGGGGAGGGGAAGGGAAAAGGAGGTTTGTAAGCCGCTCTGAGACACCTTTGGGTAGTGAAGAGCGGGGTATAAATCCAATCTCTTCTTCTTCTTCTAAATGCTGTGGCTTTTTTTTTCTCTTGCTGACCTGAAGTTTTTTTACTCTGCTGAACATAAAAATGGCAACACATTAGATACGAACACAGTGCAGAAGCGAGAACCCCAGGGGCGGTCAGCATGCTGTCTTCTGGGTGCACAGGCAACCTTCCAGGGCCTATCTGTGCTCATCAAAACAATCCTAATTCCTCCAGCCAGGGGTGGCTCTAAATTCCGGAAGGTGTGAAATGGAACGGAAGGATAGACAACCCCTCCTCTCCCTCCCTGAATCCTACACCCTGTGCTATGTACACAGGTCCTTTGGGGATCTCACCTAGGCAGGGTAATCATTTGCAGAGGGAAATCTGCACTTCTTAAGCACTTGTAGGCATGCCAGTACATCCAACTGCTTTGTTGAAAATCGACTCTCCTAAGTCCTGACCGAGTTTTAACACTCTTTTCCAGCTAGCGATCGATTACGGCATCAAATTTCTGGAGACCAGTGCGAAATCGAGCATAAATGTGGAAGAGGTAAATGGGGACTGAACTTTGCTAAGTGCTTGTCTGGTTGCTGGTGGTTAAAATGTGTGTGGAGGGGGAGGTCTGACTGATTTAGCCATGGGGACTAAAGGGGAAAATTGCACATTCAGAGGCAGTCCACCTCTGAATCCCAGAGCCAGGAGGCAACCTCAGGGGAAGGCCTCGGCCTCTCTGCCCTTTTGTCGGCCCTCCAGAGGACCTGGTTGGCCACTGTGTAAGCCGGGCTGCTGGACTGGATGGATTATTGGTCTGATCCAGCAGAGATCCCTGTATTTTGAGTTGTATCATAGTACCACATTGATGCAGACAATGTATTGACTTATACCGGAGCTGTTGACTGTTTTCTGGGCTGCCTACCTGCAGTGTTCCCTCTAAGCTGAGTGAGTGTGAGCTGGCTCACAGTTTTCTAGCCTCCGGCTCACACATTTTTGTCTTCGCTCAGGAAGGATGGGGCTCCAGAGCCAACTCATTTATGCAGTAGCCAAGCCGCTCGCTCACAACTTTAATGTCAGTAGCTCACAAAGTAGGATTTTTGCTCACAAGACTCCACAGCTTAGAGGGAGCATTGCCTACCTGTACTACTTCCTCGAGTCCATATGCTCCAGGCAGACTCTTAGAGCTCCTCCCATGCCCTGTGCCGTGGGACCCTCTTTTACCATACCAGGCAGACGGATAGAAGTACTCGGGGGGGGGGGCGAGGTTGAGGCAGTACATATTGAAATTATTTGGAGGCATGAAAATGAATCTTCTGTTCTTGGGCATCGCTTTGGAGCCAATTCCCCTAAAGCCAAAACTTGACAAATCTTAAAATGTCTTTAAAAAAGCATTTATCGCAGGACTGCTCTAAACCGGGTTGTTGGGGCTCAGTTTCAGTTTATTAGGTTTAAGAGCCTATAGGCCATACACCATAGATAGATGGATGGATAGATGGATAGATAGATGGATGGATGGATGGATGGATGGATGGATGGATGGATGGATGGATGGATGATAGAAATTTAAACTTTAATAAAAAAATTAAAAAGACAGTATAACAGAAATGTATCACATCTATTATACAGTTATTGCACAGAGTACTCAGCAGAAGTCTCAGCCTTGTAGATTCCAAAAAGGCAACCCAAACGGCTAAGACGTTAGTTGGTCAGAAGTGAACTCCTCAGTCCTGTTGCGTGTACTAAATCTTTTCTCTCCCCCCCCCCCCTTCCTCTCTTGGTTCCAGGCTTTCTTCACTCTTGCACGGGATATTATGACAAAACTCAACAGAAAAATGGTTGGTTTCTTGTATTGTCTTGTACTGTACACAGGGATCTGCAAACCGTAGCCAGAATTTGTGCTCATTGCTGACCCTGTCTGTTCCCCCTGGCGGGGAGAGGGGGAGCCTTGCCTCTATCCCCGCTCACGTGAAATAAATCCCTTCTATTTCTGGCGAGGTTTGTGGCCGCTTGTATCACAGCGGGCTCCACCTGCCCCTCTCTGAGCCAGGGGGAAGGGCGAGAGGGTCGCCCTCTTACGGCACTCCGCTTCTTGGTTGCCAAAGTGGGAGTGACACTTGGCACAGCAGCCGCAGAGGGTGGGTTTGTAGGTCCCTGAGAGAGGGTGTGAGAGCTTTTGAGCAGTCTATCCCGGGGGGGGGGTCGAACTCATTTGTTACGAGGGCCGGATCTGACATAAATGAGGCCTTGTCGGGCCGGGCCATGCGTGTCATAAAATGTAATGCCAGGGAGCGGAGATACAAACTGATAGAAGCCCTCTGGGGGCCTGATCCGGCCCCCGGGCTGCATGTTTGACACCCCTGGTCTTTATCCTGCAGCTTGAAGAAACAGTGGGGGGGGGGGATCATGGCACAGAATAGTTAACCTGAGACAAAAGGCAGCTTTTGCTGACGTCCAACCCGAGACACAAAATAGGTTATGCAAAAGGCGCCAGTCTGGTCTGTGATCAGACGGGACCTTCCCGCTCCCCTCGTGCTCAGTATGCTTAGAAGCAAATTGCTCAGACTCCTGGATTGGAACCCCTGGGCAGTCTCCCTCGGCTCATAAGTAAGAGACTGTCGTTATTTCACGAAGCATCCTACCTGTGCCCTGGCGCGCAGTTTGGAAATTGCCGGTGCTGCTGGTAGAAAGTGCCGTCAAGTTCCAGCTGACTTCTGGCAACAGTGCAGGGTTTTCCAGGCCAGAGGCTCACACAGGTGGTTTGCCATTGCCTGGCTCCCCTGGACTTCCTTGGGGGGGGGGGTCTCCTCTCCAAGTACTAAGAAGGACTGACCTTGCTTAGCTCCCCAGATCCAAAAGAAAAGGCTAGGCCATCCAGGACAGGGCAAGAGACGAATAGAGGTGGTTTTGCCCTTGCCTGCCTCTGCATAGCAACCCTGGGCTTCCTTGGAGGTCTCCCATCCAACTACTAACCAGTGCCTGCCTCTGCGTGGCAACCCTGGGCTTCCTTGGTTGGTCTCCCATCAAAATACTAACGAGGGCCGACCCTGCTGAGATCTGACACGATCAGGTTAGCCAGGATGTACTCTCGCTCGCTCACTGAAAATGGAGATTGTTCCCATCATTAAAACTATTTTGCGGGCCTTTTGTTGTTCGTGGGGGGGGGGCGCAAGACAGGAGTCGCGGAGTCCCTGACGCCTTTCTCCCCTCTCCCCTCGTAGAACGACGGCAGTTCGGCGAGTGCAGGCGGGCCCGTGAAAATAACAGAAAACAGATCGAAGAAGACCAGCTTCTTCCGATGCGCGCTGCTTTGATGAACTCCCTAATAACAGACTGCAGCAGGCCTAGAAGAAAAAACAAAACAAAACGAGAAAAAAAACAAACCCTTTTCCTGCTTCTTTGAAAGCACACATGCTCTCCTCCCGGCCACGGGAGATGTGACCACCCCGGCTGCTTGCTGAGAGCTCTCGTCCGAACACCCGAACCGAGAAGAACACGGATTCCGGTTCGCTCTGCTCCCTCTTCTCAGACACGGATGCCGCGAGGCTGAGAGAGACACCACCCGTGCGGGAGCCACGTCTACGTTTTCCTTCATTGCTTTTGCTTCTTCTGTGCCCGATCCGGAAGCCGCTGCGGTTCCTTTTCTCTCGCACCCACCCACCCCCCTCTTTAAACTGTTGCACGTCTGCATCGTGGGCCTTCCGTTGCCTGTCAGCACAGTTTTCACGCTTCTTCCTGCACAGCTTTTTCTTCTTTGGTCTGGCCAGAGATCCTCATCCCCATGCGCCTGTTTCTCCCCCCCCCCCAGCTTGGAGAACAAATACCACCAAACGTAGAGCAGGGTTCTGGCCCACCGGAGTGTTGTTCTTGGGGGCGGGAGGTCGTCCCAAGTGGGATAGATCCCTGTTTCTCTTCTCCCTGCCTCCGCGTCCGTATCAGAAGTTCTCCAGGGCCGTCCTCTGTCCTTGCAGAACCTCCCTTTGTGGTACAAATTACTTGTGCCTCAGAGGGACAGATGATTGGTATCCAAGTGGTCCAGAGGAAGAGCTTCTGGAGATGTATGGAAACCTCCAAGCTTTTGCTCTGGTGGCTGTTCCCACGTGTGTCTGGGCGAGGGGAGACGGCTCTTTGTGAGAGTCCTCGGGGGGCCCAGACGTGGCAGCCGACGGTTGACCGGATTTTGCCCTTTCTCAGGCACACAAATATCTGTGAAATAAATGTTTCCACGTGATCCAGTGATGGAAACGTTTCTAACACCCAAGGCACTTAAAAGTTCCCATTTGGGTTACCTGCTTGTCTTTAACGAAACGCACAGGCCTGTTTGTGTCGAAATATCCCCCCCCCCCCCCCCCGGGGAGGCGGGGGGCGAATGCAGGGTGTTGGTCTTCTTGTAAAAAGTTCCTGCGAAAAGTTCAAGGAGCACGTTGTCTTTTTCCTCTTAGTCACCTAATGATCTAAATTAAGGGTCCCCCTCTCTTTTATTGAGCGGTGCTTCTCACTTCTTTAAAATACAGAAAGCGGTGTTTGGTTTCTCATGGCACCCGTTTGTACAGTGAGGCGGCCGAACCTCGGACTTCACTTCTGTGTCTCGTGTCCGAAACGTTTCTTTGTCTTCCATCCTGTGCGGGTGAGGGGGAAACGTATTGTCGTGGAGTTGTGGAATCTGAAGGTGGGGGGGTTCCTCCAGTCCCTTCCCATACGTGTTTCTCTGGTTCCATCAGGGAGGGAGACGGGTGTCGATTTGGTAGGAGTATTGAACAGAAGAACAAAAAATGATTCCCCGCAACAATCTGTCCTGCCGTTGGAAAAGGCGAAGGACTAAAGCCCCCGAGCCCCAGCAAAAGTGCTTTCTTCACAGCATGTGTGATCACACCCACGGCGAACGTCCCGTCCTTTTGCCACCCCTGGATGGTGGCGTCCTTCCGTCTGTATCTCACGGGGGTCGTCGGGAAGGTTGGCAGGTCCCACGGCTTACTTTCTGTGTCTTTTCGTTGCTCGTTTCTGCTCCTCGCTAGCATTTTCACTCCTTGGGTTCCGTGTGCGAACGTAGTCTCTGTGGATTTCCCTCCGAGGGAGCCTGTAAAAAAAACCTAGTCGACATCGAGTGCTTCTTGAAGCAGCAGCAAATGGGGGCCATCTGCTCCGTTTTATTAAAAAAAAAAACTTGCTATTTTCTTACTTCTAGCCGTGTTAAAAATGTACATAAATCTGAGTAAGACCATAGGAAATCCACTTTATGCTTGGTGTAACGATGCCCACACAGTTAAACTTTGCTTCGTAATGTTAACGTTGAATATATTTCCCCCCCCCGTGAAAGGAATAGCGACGGTATTGTTTGTTCCCTGCTGAAGTTCTGAAGAATATTCTGTTTTCACGTGAAAGGGACTGTAGTCTTGAGGGAAAACAAAACGCGGCCCCTTTTTGCCAGTAGTATGAAGTGACGGGGGGCTGCTGTTTCCACAAAGGTTGATCTAGACACCCCACCACCACCCCCCAGGAACAGGCCGCCTTGTCCAACTGATTGTATGGAGTTTTGCTTGAGATGTTTCTCTAGACTGAGGTGCACAGACACACGGTATAGCCCGTCTCTGCGTCCCGTGCGCTTGACGCAGGCTTCTCTTGCTTCTGAACACATCCGGTGCGTTCTTATAACTCTACGGAGGAGTCATCTTTCTGTTCAGGCTTTTAAAAGACAAGGTTGATGGCGCCGAACTGATGGCTGAAATGGACTGGGTCCACCTGTCTCTGCATTCTCTACAAGTTTTGGCCTTAATCTGAAGACCTTTCTTCACTTCCACAAAGGGCAAGCTTTCTTTCTTTCTACTAAGGAAGAGAATCCTCCGTTCTCCGCTTAGCTGCTTCTCAGAATGTCAGTAGACCCGCTAAATGAGAAAATGCCCGCCGGAAACAGGCGCACTAGCTGAAACTGTTTCTTCCAGTGAAGCCTTGTCTCGTTCAGTTGGTTTTGGGGTTTTTTTAAAAAAAAAGTTTACGCATCTAGTTATAAATTTGGATTTCTTCCATGCGTATGAAAGATTGATCTTTATTGGACATGCCACTCTTTCTGTACAGTACTTGTAAAATACTTTTCAGCTTTGGAGGAGGGTGGGGGAAGTGCCGTGTTGTTGCTTTTTTTGTTTTTTGTTTTTTTTTTTAAACAAACGGGGTATTTACCCGCCCCGGGCCCATTCCCACGTCTCACTTCCAGATCTGCAGGAAGGAAGTCCATTACTTCCGTCAGCCAAAAGGGATGTACAGGAAAACTCTCAGTTCCGTCAGCGGTCTGGTGGTTAACAGCTTGGAGGATCTGTGACGGATTAAAAAAAACGTGCAGATGTTTTGGGCGATGACAGGAATGGCCCGATTAGAAGGAGTAAAGTAAAATTTGTAAGGCTGAAGGTTTAAGAAATGGCTGATGCTCCGTTTTATTGGATGCCCACTCTCAAACTTGACATCTGAATGCAACTTCATATATAGTCTTTCTTTTTCTTCTCCTGGGTTCTAGGGAATTTTTTAGTGCATTCCTATGGCCTTACAAACATTTTTCCCCCCTGTGCAAATAGTACTTTCCTGGCTTTATCTTAATGCAATATGCTAAATCCCGAGAGATCCAGCGTGACCTCGAAACAGCCCAGGTTTTTGTTTTTTTACACACAGTTGTTTTCTACCACGTGTGAAGCACATTTTTCACTCCTCCAAAGGCATCAGGTGGAAGGTCTCTTGCGGATAATGTGGACTTGTCATCTGGTTAACGTGTAACCCTAATCATTAATTGTGTGCTGATCCTGTGTACAAAAAGAAAGAGGGGGGTGGGTGGGGAGGGAGGGGGCGTTATTTCAATTGAACTCTTTTTATAACTATGTGCGTCTCAAATAAAATTACATAATTAAGTGTTCAGGGGTTTTTTGTGTGTGAAATAGTGTGGTGAAA